GGAACTCTCTTGCTTTTTCAATGATCCAGCGAATGTTGGCAATTTGATCTCTGGTTCCTCTGCCTTTTCTAAAACCAGCTTGAACATCTGGAAGTTCATGGTTCATGTATTGCAGAAGCCTGGCTTGGAGAATTTTGAGCATTACTTTACTAGCATGTGGGATGAGTGCAATTGTATGGTAGTTTGAGCATTCTTTGGGATTGCCTTTCTTTGGGATTGGAATGAAAACTGACCTTTTCCAGTCCTGTAGCCACTGCTGAGTTTTCCAAATTTGCTGGCATAGTGAGTGCACTCCCGTTCCCCACCTGGCGTGAGGCAGGCGGGCAGGTGGGCACGCACACACCAAACTCCACCAGCTGGCTGGCTGGCGCGTGTGCACGCGTGGAGTTGTGGCATGTGGGATCTAGTTCTCTGACCAGGGATTGAACCTGGGCCCCCAGCACTGGGAGTGTGGAGTCTTAGCCACTGGACCACCAAGGGAAGGAGAGTGCCACAGAAGCATGGAGGCTGCGACAGTCGGCGCAGAAGCTTAGCGGCCGAGAGGAGCTTAAGTTATCTAGAGATGATTTAAAGTATATGGGAGGATGTATGTGCGTTAGATGCAAATACCACGCCTTTTATATAAGGGACTCGAGCATCTGTGGACTTTGGTATCTAAGGGGGGTCCTGGAACCAACTCCCCGAGGATACTGAGAGATGACTTATCACCGTGTTTATTTCAGTATAATTTACAAAAACCAAATATGCAAACAACCTGAGTATCCATTGATGGGATATCATTCAGCCATAAAGAAGAATGGAATCTTGCCATTTGTGACAACATGGACCTTATGCTACATGAAATAAGTCAGATAAAGATTTATGGTCTCAATTATATGTACAATCTAAAAAAAAAAAAAACACCACCACAACCATGTAGATACCGCAAACAGACTGGCTGCCAGATGCTGGATGGTAGAAGTAGGAAAGTTAGGTAAAAGGGGCCAAAAGGTACAAATTTCCCCTTAGAAAGTAAGTCAGATAATGTACAGCATGGTGACTGTGGTAATAATATTGTATTGCATGCTTGAAAGTTGCTGAGAACAGATCTTAAAAGTTCTTAGACTCAGGAAGTTATGTGTGTATGCTCAGTCGTATCCGACTCTCTGCAGCCCCATGGACTGTAGCCCGCCAGGCTCCTCTGTCCATGGGGTTTTCTAAGCAAGAAAAAGAGTGGGTTGCCATTTTCTCTTCCAGGGGATCTTCCTGACCTAGGGATTGAACCTGTGTCTCTTGTGTCTCCTGCATTGACAGGCAGATTCTTTACCACTGGTGCCACCTGGGAAGCCCAGGAAAACTTATAGGAAGTAAGAAAAAAATATGAGATAAAGATCCGAACACTACAAATAACCTAGTCACATTGCACAAATTTTCAGGTCACCCCAAAGTATTGTCTTACAACATCCTACAGGAATCTTTACCATGTAGCCTGGGAGCAGAGAATGCTGGTGGTAGGTCATCGATGCCTAGGATCAATATTGCTGAGGTCAACAATCAAGATTTTCCCAGTAGTAAGTATTTATTCCTGTTTTCAGATCACTTTTGAAATTCGTTACAAAAACAGGAACACTGGTTAGTTTCCCAAGGAATAAATTGAGAACAGAGGACCAAGATCAGTCTTCACCCTCAGAGGCAAGCTGTAGAGCCCTCGAGTCTAACCTTCGCTTCCTTTCACTGCATCTCAGCTGCCACCAACGCTTCCTAACTCTGATTTCCTGTCCTTCGCTTCCTTTCACTGCATCTCAGCTGCCACCAACGCTTCCTAACTCTGATTTCCTGTCCTTCGCTTCCTTTCACTGCATCTCAGCTGCCACCAACGCTTCCTAACTCTGATTTCCTGTCTCCTCGTATTCTCATCTACCCCACATTATAAGCTAGCATGATTTTTCTAAAGTATAGCTCTAATTATAGGATCGGCTGGATTAGAAACATCATCCATTATCTCTTAAACTAGTGACTAGCCCAGCGTTCAACACATTTCAAACTCCTCCTCCACCCTCCTTCCCCTGACTCCTCTCTCTGCACAGATCCTCCCACTTGGATCAGGTCACAGATGGCCTAGATGGGACCTTCCATAATTTGAGTCCCTCCTCTTTTAAACCCTGAAGGACTTTGGTTGTTATTTCTCATGTGGCATGTATTTCAATCTGCTTTCTTTAAAAAAAAACAAAAAACCTTCTTTCTCTTACTGTCCCCATTAGATGTTATGATTTTTTAGACCAGAAATTGTATGAGTTAGAAAACTAGAGCTGTTTCTCTTTAGAAACAAAAGGAGACAAACATAGTATTTCGGGTTCATTTTTGATATAAATTTCTCAGGGCTGAGGTACACTGACTCAAAGATCTTCCTTCTCCACGAGACCCTCAACTTCTGTAGGTAACTTCACTGCAGACAGAGACAGAGGGAGGAAATCTGCCGGAGGTCCCCAAACTATGCAGCTGCGTGGGCCGAGAGCAGGTAGGCGGCCGGTGTGCCTTCAGAGCAGATGCCCACTGGAGGTCTCCTGCCCAGCTGGGGGCTTCGGCATCTGAGATGGCCTGAAGATGGGGCTGCTGTAACCTCAGGGAGGCGCCCAGAGAGAAGGGGCTGCTCAGCATGTGCTTCTGACTCTCTGGCTCAAACTGGCTGCTTCACAGAGGGGACAGAATCTTGCCAGCAGGACCCCACTGGGCACCTACAGCCTGACCAACAGGCACAGAGCCTGGACGCCGCGGGAGGCTGGCTGTGCTCCGACTGCGCGTTCTCGCACCAGAGGCGAGACTCTGGGCTCAGAAACATGCTGCTTGAGTCCTGGGCTGACAGCTGGAGGCCTGTGTGAGAGGACCTGGAACATGGAGCAGGTGGCTGGGACAGGGCATGTGGAAGATCGGGTGCTGTTTTAAGGGTGGGCTCGTGCCCTCCCTCTCCAGAGCTCCCCCAAACTTCATTCTTTCCTTTTCATCCGAGCCTCTTCCTCCTGTCCACACACCTGTGACCCAGGAAAAGGGTCTCACTTCTGTATCACTTGAAAGATCCGTAATCACAGAATATGTGCCCAAACTCTGTTCGGTGCAGGGACAAACACGAAGCTCCTAATGTGTGAAGCTGCAGGTCTCGGGGCGCTCTTGGTACTACAGGTCAGGGGCGGCGCTCAGCCATGTAACAGTCCAGCCTTGGGGCCCAAGCCTACTGTGGCTCCAGGGATGTGACACCTGCCGGGATCAGTGAGGTCTAAGGGACTGCAGCAGGCATGTCTCTGTTGCTGAATTTAATTTTGGTTTTAAACTGGTGAGTAGTTCACTTAAGATGTCATGTTCTCTAAGACTTCCCAGGCAGTCCAGTGGTTAAGATTTCGGCTTCCAGTGCAGGGGTGCGGTTCGATCCCTGATTGGGGAGCTAAGACTCCACACACCTTGCTTCCAAAAAAAACCCCACCAAAACATAAAAAAAGTGACTGTAACAAATTCAATAAAGATTTTAAAAATGGTCCACACCAAAAAAAATTTTTTTTTTAATGTTGTGGTTAAGTATTTAGCAACTCGATTCACTAATACACATGGGTATCTACATATTCCTGTGCTATACAGTAGATGCTTAATCATCTCTTTTCTAGGGTGTATATGATAATTCCAACCCCCTAATTTATCCCTCTCCTCAACCCTTCCCCTTTGGTAACTAAGTTTGCTTTCTACATCTGAGATTGTGTTTTGTAAATTCTTTCATGTGTAGCAATTTTTAGATTCCACTGGGCTTCCTTGATATTTCAGTGGGTAAAGAATCCACCTTCAATGCAGGAAACCCCAGTTTGATTCCTGGGCCGGGAAGATCCCCTGGAGAGGCTACCCACTCCAGTATTCTGGGGCTTCCTTTGTGGCTCAGCTGGTAAAGAATCCACCCGCAATGCGGGAGACCTGGGTTCGATCCCTGGGCTGGCAAGATCCCCTGAAGAAGGGAAAGGCCACCCATTCCAGTATTCTGGCCTGGAGAATTCCATGGACTGTATAGTCCATGGGATTGTAAAGAGTTGGATACGATTGAGTGACTTTCACTTTGGGCGTCCCTGATAGCTAAGCTGGTAAAGAATCCAGCTGCAAGGCAGGAGACCCTGGTTCAATTCCTGGGTTGGGAAAATCTGCTGGAGAAGGGGTAGACTACCCACTCCAGTATTCTGGGGCTTCCTTTGTGGCTCAACTGGTAAAGAATCTGCCCACAATGTGGGAAACCTGGGTTCGATCCCTGGGTTGGGAAGATCCCCTGGAGGAGGGAAAGGCTACCCACTCCAGTATTCTGGCCTGGAGAATTCCATGGCCTGTACAGTCCATGGGGTCACAAAGAGCTGGACATGATTGAGCTAGTTTCACTTAGATTCCACCTGTAAGTGGTATCATATTTGCCTTTATATGTTTGACTTACTTCACTATTATCTCCAAGTCCATCTGTGTTGCCGAAAATGGCATTATTTTATGGCTGCATAATATTTCTACCACATCTTTATCCATTCATCTGTCAATGGACATTTTGCTACTGTAAACAGTGCTGCAGGGAATCTTGTGAGCATGTGCCTTTTCGAAGTGTGGTTTTCCCTGGACAGACACCCAAGAGTGGAACTACCGAATCGTCTGGCAGGTCTGTTTTTAGATTGTAAAGAAACTTCCATACTGATCTCCACAGTGACTGTTACCAAGTTCATAATCCCAACAGTGGCTTAGGAGGGGTCCCTTTCTCCATGGCCTTCCCAGCATTTCTTGTTTGTAGACTGTGTTGATGGCCATTCTGACTGCTGCGAGGGGATACCTCACTGGAGTGTTGATTTGTATTTCCCCAATAATTAGCAATGCTGAGGAGCTTTTCATGAGTAAAATTTACCTTTTGAACTTGGGTTCCTGAAAGCCTATCCTATTTGAAGTCGTTTGTGATTATCTACCCAAGACATTTTTTGAGGGCCCCTGTCACTTACAGCCCCAAAGGTCTGGTGATTATGAAGTGCCCCTAAACACTGACTTTAAAGCTGTTTTTTAATAAGAAATGGCCAGAAGGTGGCAGGGTTTCTTCTTGCCCCATTCTGGTTACTCAGGGAATGTGAGCCTGAGGGAGAGAAGGTCCTGTTCCTTGGTTATAAATTAGAGTGGGATGCGCCTGACCAGACACCCAAGGGCCTGTGTCTCCTCCCTCTTACCCTTCATCTTCCAGACAGAGCCCTAGCCCTGAAAACCTCTTGTTATGGGTACTGTCATCAGAGGGGGGGCGGCTCCAATGGGGCAGGCTGGAGATGGTTACCCCCCCACAGGAGAGGTGGCGATGAGGTGACCTTTCAGATCTCTTCCAGGCCAAAAGGGCCACCTTCCTTTGGTTGCCCAAGTCCTGTTTTGGCTGCTCCTGCACTTGGAAGACTGTGGTTCCATGCAGAGGGGACCAGGCATGATGGGTCAAGGGTGACACGTTTCTTGGTACATCCTCCCAGCACCCTGTGTTTCACGACAGTCCAGCCTTGGGACCCAAGTCTGCTCAGGCACCAGGGATGTGACACAGCCTGGGTGAACGGGGCCCAAGGAAATATAGTAGGCGTTTCTGTTTTTCTTTTTGAATTAATATTTGTATTTTAAACTGGAGAATACTGTTTGTTCTGTGTACACCAACCTGACTCATATTGACAGGTGTCTACATATTCAGTTTTGGACTTTTTTCCATCTAGGTAAGTACAGTGTGAGTACAGTAGGTCCCTGTCCATTAGTTCTTCTCCATATACAAGAATGCATGTATATTCCAGCCTCCTAGCTTGTCCGTCTGCCCTATCTTTCCCCTCTGGTAACAATAAGTTTGTTTACTATAGCTGTGACTCTTTCTTCTTTTTTTTTTTTTAGCTGTGACTCTTTCTTGTTGGTAGATTAGTTCATGACTACCAACTTTTACATTCGACCTACAAATGGCACCTTACGCTTGCCTTCTGAGTGTGACTTACATCACTCAGCAGCAGCATCTCTAGGTCCTTCCGTGCTGCTGCCAATGGCATCGCTGGCTCACGAGCCAGTAGTGTTGCACTGGCTTTATCTTTATCTGTTCATCTACTGGTGGACACTTTGGTGCTTCCACGCTTGGCAACTGTCAGTAGTGTTACAGTGGGACTTCCTGGTGGTCTAGGGGCTCAGACTCTGAGCTCCTAATGCAGGGGGTCCCTATTTGATCCCCAGCCAAGGAGCTAGACCTCACATGCTGCAGTGAAGACTGAGGATGCCTTGTGCCACAACTAAGATCTGGGGCAGCCAAATACATAAATACTTCTTAGCAACAGTGCTACAGAGAACCTTAGGTGCATGTCTCTTCCAGTTGTGCTTTTCCTAGACACAGGTCTGGGAAAAGAATTCCTGAATCATTGGGGGGGCGGCTCCAATGGGGCAGGCTGGAGATGGTTACCCCCCCACAGGAGAGGTGGCGATGAGGTGACCTTTCAGATCTCTTCCAGGCCAAAAGGGCCACCTTCCTTTGGTTGCCCAAGTCCTGTTTTGGCTGCTCCTGCACTTGGAAGACTGTGGTTCCATGCAGAGGGGACCAGGCATGATGGGTCAAGGGTGACACGTTTCTTGGTACATCCTCCCAGCACCCTGTGTTTCACGACAGTCCAGCCTTGGGACCCAAGTCTGCTCAGGCACCAGGGATGTGACACAGCCTGGGTGAACGGGGCCCAAGGAAATATAGTAGGCGTTTCTGTTTTTCTTTTTGAATTAATATTTGTATTTTAAACTGGAGAATACTGTTTGTTCTGTGTACACCAACCTGACTCATATTGACAGGTGTCTACATATTCAGTTTTGGACTTTTTTCCATCTAGGTAAGTACAGTGTGAGTACAGTAGGTCCCTGTCCATTAGTTCTTCTCCATATACAAGAATGCATGTATATTCCAGCCTCCTAGCTTGTCCGTCTGCCCTATCTTTCCCCTCTGGTAACAATAAGTTTGTTTACTATAGCTGTGACTCTTTCTTCTTTTTTTTTTTTTAGCTGTGACTCTTTCTTGTTGGTAAATTAGTTCATGACTACCAACTTTTACATTCGACCTATAAGTGGCACCTTACGTTGCCTTCTGAGTGTGACTTACATCACTCAGCAGCAGCATCTCTAAGTCCTTCCGTGCTGCTGCCAATGGCATCGTTGGCTCACGAGCCAGTAGTGTTGCACTGGCTTTATCTTTATCTGTTCATCTACTGGTGGACACTTTGGTGCTTCCACGCTTGGCAACTGTCAGTAGTGTTACAGTGGGACTTCCTGGTGGTCTAGGGGCTCAGACTCTGAGCTCCTAATGCAGGGGGTCCCTATTTGATCCCCAGCCAAGGAGCTAGACCTCACATGCTGCAGTGAAGACTGAGGATGCCTTGTGCCACAACTAAGATCTGGGGCAGCCAAATACATAAATACTTCTTAGCAACAGTGCTACAGAGAACCTTAGGTGCATGTCTCTTCCAGTTGTGCTTTTCCTAGACACAGGTCTGGGAAAAGAATTCCTGAATCATCTGGCAGCTCTATTCTTAGAATTTCTTTAAGATTTTTTTTTTTATGTGGACCATCCTTAAAGCCTTTATTGAATTTGTTACAGTCGTCTGCTGTGTAATGTTTTGGTTGTTATTGCCACCAGGCATCTGGGATCCCAGCTTCCCAACAAGAGATCGAAGCCTCACCCTCTGCATTGGAAAGCGAAGCCTGAAGCATCGAACCACCAGAGAAGCACCTCTTCTAAGATTTTTAAGGAACCCCCACAATGACCCTCCTAGAGGCTGTTACCGCTGACATGGCCGCCAGAAGCCGGGGGTCTCCCTTTCATCCCCTCCCACTCCTGTATTTCTTCTTCGTGATTTTTGGGAGGAGGGCCGCTCTGAACGGTGCCACAGGGGCAGCTCATTGTACTGCTGACTGGCATTTACCCCAAAATCAGTGATGTTACAACTCTTTTCATTTTCTTAATTTCTTAAACAATGTGAGTAAAATTTAACTCTTGAAACTGGTTTCTTAAGTCTTTCTCTATTTGAAGTCGTTTTCAATTACCGTCAGTATTTTTGTGAGGGCACCTGTCATTTAAGGCACGGCAGACCTAGTACACAGAAGTGCCTGTAAGCACCAGTATAAGAGTTGCTGCTAGGAAAAATGGCCAGAAGGTTGCAGAATTTCCTTTAGCCCGTTTTGCGGTCTCAGGAAAAGTGAGCCATAGAGAAAGTCTCGTTTGTGACATGGAAGTCAGAGTGGAACACACCTGACCAAACAACCACCGGCTTGAGGCTCACTATGTCCTCCTCGATACTGTCATCCCTGAGTAAATTGCAATCCCAGGAAAACCACCTGTTAGGACCCTGTGAGCAGGAGGTGGAACCAGAGGAAGGATGGAGGTGGGAACCCCTGCGAAAGGACCCATGGAGATGAGGTAACATTCCAGTTTTATCGGAAGAAAGACAGTTCACCATGATTCCGGTGTCCAAGGACAGCCTCAGCTGTAGAAGGACATTAATGGACAACAGTATGTGGTAGCGAGCACAGGAAACAGCCAGCGCATCCAATGGGGGGCATTGTTGGTGCATCCTCCCAGCTCCCTCAGCAGAAGGACAGACCAAGAAATGGACCAAACACGAACAGACTGAAGCAAGGAAGAGTGACGGTGTTATGAGTCCAGACAAAATGGAGTCTTCAGCATACTTCTTTTTAACTTAATAAATACTTTTACAATACCGAATATATGACTTTAAAGGTTCTGATAAGTTCAAGACCAACTTGATTAGAACTCCATATATAACTAAATAAATTTCTTCTACCTAAAACTAAAAGCAATGTAAAACTATTATATTTCCATGAAAAAAAATTACATGGAAAGGAGAAAATGAAGAAAAAATGACCACTCTCGTCCACCCGGGTCTCGGTGACCTGGGTGGTGTCATAGCCCTGGGGACCCAGCAGCCTAGATCTATGGGCTGGACACTACGGGGCTTGGGGCATCAAGGAGGGCTGCCAGGACATGAGCCCCTTGCTGCCTCTACAGCGCCTGGGCCCCTCTGGAGCAGACCACAGCTGACCAGTCAGGCACACTGGCACCTACACCCGGCTACTGCACCCCCAAAATCCCGGACACCTGGGCTGGCAGCACTTGGAGAGAGGTCCCCCTGTCTCCATTTCTCCAGGGAGGGGGGTTCCCAAGTTCAACTTCTTACAGTCTCTCCACCTACGTAGGAAACAGCCTCAAAACAGGACTTTTCTGCGTCTCAGCTGGCTCTTGCCATCTCAGACCCAGGGGGTGGGGGTGGGAGGGTGGTTGTGAGAGGAAAGGGGTGCGGAGGAAGGACATTCAGGCTCTCCGGCGATTCCTCGGGCGGTCTGCACGCTCCCCGACGACCCAGGAACGCCACACCGGCTCGGGTTCTGGGTGCCCACCGCGCAGACCGCGGCTGGTGGAAGTGCTGCCGCCCTTTGGCCGCTTCTGGGAACAACACCGCTAAACCAGGGGCGAACAGGTGCTTCCCGGACAGAGGCCTGCGGGATGCTGACGGACCCGCCCTTGAGAAACATCCTGGCGTAGCTCAGAGAGACAGGATTCAAAGCAGGCCCGACTTTCAAAAACCACATACAAACGGTGGATTTTCCTCACACTTAATGGAAACCAACTATCTGCACCTTGAAACAATCTCTGCCTCCCTAATTCTTAAGAGATTGCCAAGCAAACCTACAACCAACCATCATCAGGCAGCCCTCACCAGCAAATCAGAATAAATGCTGGAGACCTGCAGGGAGAGAAGGGAACCCTCCTCTGCTGCTCCTGGAAACAGAAATTGCGACCAGCCACAATGGAGAACCTCATGCAGGTTCCTTTAAAACAAAACCAGCACCTACCAGGAGAGCCTGCGAGCCCTCAGCAGGCCCTATATTCAGGGAAATGCATCCTTCAAAACAACACAGGCAGCCCACATTTCAGGACGGCATTCTTTCCTGGCGCCAAGGCCCCAAAGCAGCCATAACGTCCTTGCACACAGGGGTAAATACTGAAGCTATGCTTCATATATGCCTCAATTACTCAGCCATAGAAAAGAATGAAAAAATGCCATTTGAAGCAACATGGAAGGATCTAGAGATGATCACGGTGTGTCAAGTAAATAACACAGACAGACAAAAATGGCACAGGGTATTGTTTATAGGTGGAATCGAAAAATACAATCAACTAAAACTTATTAGCAAACACAGTCTGACTCCCAGTTACACAGCAAATGTAAGCTTATCAAATTCAAGACGGACCCTGGGGGTGGGGGTCGGGGTGTGAAGATCACTGAGGAAGCTGGAACTCAACAATCCATGCAGAGACACAGACACATGGTCAGAGAGACCCACAGACACATGGAGAACAATGAGCAAGCACGGGCCGGACAGAATCAGGAAGTGCGCTCAACACCGTCAGCAGCTACAGGGGAGTGAATCCAAAAAGAACAGATGCGTGAATATAAAGGAATCCACTGCTTGTTCCACCACAAACAAACATGATAACAGGAATCAACAGACTCCAGTGCAGAATACACATTACAGGGAAAGGAGAAAATGAAAACAAACACATACCCCAACCCCTCAGGCCTGCTGACTGGGGTGCCGGCACACCCCTGGAGCCCCACAGGCCCAGCTCCCCAGCCCGGCTCCAGGGCTGTGGAGTGTGCGGGCGCAGAAGTCCTCACTGCATCTACAGCGCCTGGTCCCCTCTGGGACACGCCACAGCTAACCAAACTGCCAGGCACTCCTGCACCTATACCGAGGCTACTGCACCCCCAAAATCCTGGACACTCTGGGCTGGAAGCATTTTAAAGTTCCCATCTCCATTTCTCCTGGTGGGGGGTTCCCAATTTCAACTTCTTCCTTACAGAATCCACATATATAGGAAGCCTCAACACAGCACCTTTCTGGCAGCTGAGATGGCTCTGGCCAGGCGGGGGTGGTGCGGGGGCTTTGTGAAAGGAAAGCGGCATGGAGGAAGGACACCCAAGCTCTCTGGTGTCTACTCGGGCAGTCTGCACGCTACTCTACAGCTCAGGTTCTGGGTGCCCACTTGACTGACCAGAGCCGGCAAAAGTGCTTCCGCCTTGTGGCCGTTTCCTGGAACATCGTCAAACCAGGGGCTCTGAACTGTGGTGTTGGAGAAGCCTCTTGAGAGTCCCTGAACTGCAAGGAGATCCAACCAGTCCATCCTAAAGGAGATCAGTTCTGGGTGTTCATTGGAAGGACTGATGCTGAAGCTGAAACTCCAATAATTTGGCCACCTCATGTGAAGAGCTGACTCTCTGGAAAAGACCCTGATGCTGGGAAAAATTGAGGGTGGGAGAAGGAGATGACAGAGGATGAGACGGTTGGATGGCATCACTGACTCAGTGGACATGGCTTTGGATAAGCTCTGGGAGTTGGTGATGGACAGGGAGGCCTGGCGTGCTGCAGTTCAAGGGGTCGCACGGAGTCGGACACGACTGAACTGAACTGAATTGACACGACTGAGTGACTGAACTGAACAGGCTCTTCCCAGTCAGAGGCCTGCCTGATTAAGCTAAATGACCCCACCCTCGACAAATAACCTAGGGTAGTTCAGAGAGACAGAATTCAAAACAGGCCCGACTTTCAAAACCCGACCGCAAAAGGTAAATTTTCCTCACACTTAGTGGAAACCAACTATCCGCACCTGTAAAGAAACTCCGCCTCTAAGAGAAATGCCAAGCAAACCTACAACCAACTATCATCAGGCAGCCCTCACCAGCAAATCAGAACAATAAACACTGGAGACCCACAGGGAGAGAAGGGAACCCTCTTCTGCTGCTCCTGGAAATGGAAATTGTGACCAGCCATGATGGAGAATCTTATGCAGGTTCCTTTAGAACAAAACGAGCACCTACCAGGAGATCCTGCAAGCCCTCAGCAGGCCCTATTTTCAGGGAAATGCATCCTTCAAAACAACATAGGCACCCCACATTTCAGGAAGGCACTCTCCCGGCGCCAAGGCCCCAAAGCAGCCATAATACCCCAACACAGGGATAAATACTGAAAGTGAAAGTCGTGTCTGACTCTTTGTGACCCCATAGACTATACAGTCCCTGGAATTCTCCAGGCCAGAATAGTGGAGTGGGTAGCCTTTCCCTTCTCCAGGGGATCTTCCCAAACCAGGAATCGAACCCAGGTCACCCGCATTGCAGGAGGATTCTTTACCAGCTGAGCCACAAGGGAACCCTCCTCCGCTGCCTCTGGGAACGGAAATTGTTGAGACAAGATGCAGAACCTTATGTGGGTTCCTTTAAAACGAAACCCAGGCCTACAGCAAGATTGTCCAAGCCTATATGCATGGAAAACTATACTATGAAATAAGGCACCCCAATGTTCAGGAACCCATTATTTACAATAGCCAAGAAATGGAAGCAACCACAACACCTATGTGCCCAGGTTTATATATTGAAGTTGTGCTACATATATGCCATGAATAATTATGCAGCCTTAGAAAAGAATGAAATCGTGTTATTTGCAGCAACATGGCAGATACTGGAGATGATCACACTATATCAAGTAACTGAGACAGAGACAACTGGCTCGGGGAATGCCTTACAAATGCAATCTGAAAAGACAAACAGCACAGGGGATTCCCTAAACCTCAATCTAGAAATAAATACAATGAATTAACTTAGGAAATGCAAAGAGATTCCCAGAGTTAGACAAAGGCTTAGGCTTAAAAAAGGCAAATATACAGTGATTGAAGAGATAACCAAGAAGATTGGGATGAAACCATACACACTTATACACAGACAGAACGTCACAGAGATACCCACAGATACATCAAAGAAAAACGAACAAGCATTGGATAGAACAAAGAAGTGTGCTCAACACACTCTCATAAGCTACAGGGGAAGAGAATCCAAAAGAGATTAGATACTTAAGTATAATGGAATCCACTAGTGGGCCACACACAATAGCATACTAAATGAAGTAAGTCAGAAAGAGAATGACAAATACCATATAAAATTACTTATATACGGAGTCTAAAAAATAAAACAAACTAACCTATCTGTGAAACAGAAACAGAATCATGCCCACAGAGAACATACCTGTGGTTGCCAAGCGGCGGGGGTTGCAGGAGAGATGGAGTGAGAGGTTAGGGTCTGCAGATATAAGCTATTACATACAGATAAACAACGAAGTCCCAAGATAAAACACAGGGAACTATATTCAATATCCTATGATAAAGTATAATAAGAAGGAATATTTTTTAAAAAGAATGCATATGTATGTATAACTGAATTACTTCACTGTACAGCAGAAAGTAACACAACACTGTACATCAACTATACTTCAGTTAAAAACTAATTTTTTTAAAGGGCCAAAGACCTTAACAGACACTTCACTAAAGATATATGGATGGTAAAGTAAACGTGTGTAAAGACACTTAAGATGTCAGAGAAGTATCAAATTATACTGCAAAACACCTATTAAAGTGGGCAAAGTTTACAATACCGACAACAGCAAACGCTGGCAAGGATGTGGAGCAAAAGGACTCTCACTCACTGCTGGTGGGAGTGCAGACACTATAGCCACTCGGAAAGACAGCTGGGCAGTTTCTCACAAGCTACTCTTGCTGCACAATCTAGCTGTACCACCCCGCATTAGTCTTCCTTAGCATTTACCCAAGTGATTAACTTACATTCATAAAGACACTACACAGACATGTTTATAGCTGCTTAATTCGTAACCATCAAAACCTGGAGGCAACCAAGATGTCTTTCAATTGCTCAATGGGTAAATAAATAGTGGTACATTCAGACCATGAGATATTATTGGGTGCTAAAAAGAAATAAGCTGTCAAGTCATGAAAAGACATGGAAGAACTTTAAATGCAGATTATTAATGAAAGTCTGAAAAGGCTACATACTGACTGATTCCAACTGTGTAACATTCTGGAAAAAGAAACCACTGAGATATATATATATATAAAATCCCTTCCTAGNCTTGCTGTAGTGGCAGGGCTATGCTCAGTAAATCTTTAATCCAATTTTCTGCTGATGGATGGGATTGTGTTCCCTCCCTGTAGTTTGGCCTCAGACCAAACTATGGTAGGGGTAATGGATTTATGGATTTATGCCAGCA